CTAACCTTTTTGAGGAACTCAAGCACCACCTACAATCCACTATTAGTAAAACTCCTAGAACACTTTTAAGAGCTTTTGAGTAATGTACACCACATTATCTTCTTAAGGTTTTTTGGGAACTACATATTAGGTGAAAACTGTTTTTATAAGCGAACTTATTTGCAGTCTTGCTGTGCGTTTTCGAATTTATTCGCAGCTTCAGAAATATTTCGTTGATCTTGAAAATGTAGAAATAAAATAGTCGAGAAAAAAATTTGCTTGCGCAAAAACAATATTTGATATATTTTGCGAATTTTCCGTTTCATCTACACCATATTAGTGGTGTGCGATCTTGCAAAGCAGTGAGGCTTATTTGAAGTGGAGAAGTACAGATTATGACGAAAAGAAAGTGGAGAGGCATTCTTTCTTCCTGAACGGCATGTAATGTGCACAAGCGTTTTATACTTAATTCTTTTTTTTCCAATCCGTGAGCTGTGCAGTCATATACCAGATAGTTGCAAAAAATCCGAATAAATTTTTTACCATTTCTTACGTCAGTAGGGTAGTGCTTATTACAGAGATATACTAGCTCTACAAATTATTTACCAATCCATATGGATCTTAATACACGCGCTTATCTTATCTTGTTTTAATGGCAGGATTCACCAAAATCGTTTAATGTTTACTTATGCATTACAAGAAATGGCCCAACTTTAGAACGTTGACCTCAGGAAAATTGTCTCCGGCATATCAGAGTCTAAAAAACCTGAATACCGACGATTCTGACTGCCTAGGTCTCGAGAAATTGCGGAGAAAAGTCCATTACTTCATTTAGATAATCGCACAGCAGATGCTGAGCATAAGTTTGGAATCAGCGTTTCAAGGCGCATCTACTGGTATACATCGCATTGCAAAAGGCCACGGTCAATAAGTGATTTGTAATAGGTCGAAAAAAAGGAAAGAATTTTTGGGGCGACCTAATATATGAAAGATTCAAGCAACATTTTGTGCGCCAAAAAAAACTTTTCTATCCTTTGAGTACCCTACATAGTCTCCCTCGCATTTTCTCTCGTTATTTTCTCTAGTCTCTTTTCTCTCATTTCGTAACTAACCTCATTTTGGGAAGCTCAGGATTTTGCAATACATTACTGTACGCGTTCTCCAAGTTCTCTGATTATTCTCTTGCCTTCCAAATTTACTTCTTATAAGCTTTGTGGTGGATGAAACATTGATATTGAAAAAAAATGTTGGAACTATATTTCCAAGACTGTCAAATGGATTATTCCTACACTATAAGAGTTCATCAACTTTTACTTTAATAGGTTTTTTGGTGGTGACTGAAAGAGTGTTAAGTTTGCGAGCGCAATGAGGAGATACCAGCTTACGTCAACATTGATTTTGATGCTGATGGATGAAGTACCCACTGATTCAA